AGAGTGCAACTCAGGTACTTAGGAGACACCTAAGTATAGTCCATACTTTCAGAGTAAGGACCATATCCTATGATAAAAAACTATACTCTGAAGATGAACAAGTAAGGACCATGTCCTATAGTAAAAAATCACTCTCCGAAGATAAACAGATGGCAATGAGGCATACAAAAAGATGTTCCACATCATATGTCACTAAGAAAATTTAAAGTAAAACACTAAGTCTCAGAGGTGTGTGGTATAATCTCAAGTAGTCTAAAATACACAAATTTGGCTTGGTGCCCATAGATAGCAAAGTGGTTACAGAGTCAGCTGCATACACCCAGACTGGCAGGTTCAAACCCGGCCCAGGCCAGCTAAACAACGACACCTGCAACAAAAAAATAGCTGAGTATTGTGGCGGGTGCCTGTAGCCCCAGCTACTTAGGAGGCTGAGGCAAGAGAATCACTTAAGTCCAAGAGTTTGAGGTTGCTGTGAGCTGTGATGCCATGACACTGTACAGAGGGCGACATAGTGAGACTCTATCTCAAAAGAAAAAAAAAAAAAACAAAAATATAAAATTGAAGTTTCAGCAGGTAAGGAGAGAGATAATATGTAAAATAAAGTATTTAAAGAAATAATGGCTAAAAATTTCCTACATGTGGGAAAAGATAAACCATTCATATATACATAAGTCACAGTAAACCGAAGCTAGATAAATACAAAGAAAATAACAGCTACTCTATAGTCAAGATTCTGAAAAATCAAATATAGAAAAACCTCCTCAAAACCGAGAGAAAGAGAGTAAGAGAAAAACCTGGAACAATTTGGGCAGCATTATTGTGATAATATTGAATTAGAACCCATAAAATAAAATAAATATCCATGAGTTCATACTAATATAAATAAATCTTAGTAATGAAAGAGAAGGGACAGCTGTTCCTTATTGTAAAATACCAATTACTAGCTATAGAAGGAAAGAAGGAAGTAGAAAATCACTATTAATCAAATGCCACAGTCATAATTGTTGCAATTAAGAACCATTGATGGATTCTGTGAGTGATTGAGGATTAGTGAGTGAAATTATGAAGGCAAACAGGATATTTTCATAGAATTAAAATATCTTTTCACAAAATATGTATTAATTGCAAAGAGAAAAATTATAGCTTTATAGTGAATACAACTGGATGATACCACCTTAACTGTGTGACCAAAGTTAACCTTGTAAGTAATAAGACATATTAGCGTTGTGTAACCCTTGATATGATTTTTGTTCAAAATGCCTCAATAAAAGCTCCAAATGAGGGACATACTACTGTAAAATAACTGGCCTGGACTTCTTCAAGTGTTAAGGTGATGTAAGATAAAGACTGAGAAAATGGCTCAGCGCCTGTGGCTCAAGTGGCTAGGGCGCCAGCCACAGACACCTCAGCTGACGGGTTCAAATCCAGCCCGGGCCTGCCAAACAACAATGACGGCCGCAACCAAAAAATAGCCAGGCATTGTGGTAGGCACTTGTAGTCCCAGCTTGGGAGGCAGAGGCAGGAGAGTCGCTTGAGCCCAGGAGTTGGAGGTTGCTGTGAGCTGTGATGTCACAGCATTCTACCCAGGGTGACAGCTTAAGACTCTGTCTCCAAAAAAAAAAAAAAAAAAAAAAGACTGAGAAAATGTAGACTGAAAGATCCTAGACCAGATAAAGGACATTAGTGGGAAAACTGGCAAAATTCGAATTCTTTAATTTTTTTTGCTTTGAGACAGAGTCTCACTCTGTTGCCCTGGGTAGAATGCCATGGCATCATAGGTCACAGCAATCTCAAACTCCTGGGCTTGAGCAATCTTCTTGTTTCAGCCTCCTGAGTAGCTGGGACTATAGGCACGTATCATAAGGCCGAGCTAGTTTTCTATTTTTAGTAGAGATAAGGTGTTGCTCTTGCTCAGGCTAGTCTTGAACTCCTGAGCTCAAGCAATCCACCTGCCTCAGCCTCCCAGAGCGCTAGGATTACAGATTCGAGTATCCGGCTTCAAATTCTGTATTAATTTCAATTTTCTGTGTTTGATATGTATGATGTGAAAATGTAAGATTAAAAAAAAAAGAAAATATTAGATATGAACATTAGGGGGAACTTCATAAAGGACATAAAGGAACTCTCTTTAGTATTTGGAAACTTTTCTGTTAAGTATGAATAATTTCAGAATAAAAAGTTTTTTTTTTTTTAAAGCCAGAGTGAGAAGACAGGGAAACAAAGGTATAAAGGATTGTGGAGGCTCGGTGCCTGTAGCTCAGTGGTTAGGGCACCAGCTACATATATTGGAACCGATGGGTTCGAATCCAGTCCGGGCCTACCAAACAACAGTGACAACTACAACCAAAAAATAGCTGGATATTGTGGCAGGTGCCTGTAGTCCCAGCTACTTGGGAGGCTGAGGCAAGTGAATTGCTTAAGCCCAAAAGTTTGAGGTTGCTGTGAGCTGTGATGCCACTGTACTCTACTGAGGGTGACATAGTAAGACTCTATCTCAAAATAAATAAATAAATAAATAAATATAATAAAAAGGATTGTGGACTTCTTATCAGTGATGATGGAGGCCAGTGAACAGTGGACAATCTGTAAAGAACTGAAAGAAAAAAAAAACCTGTCAACTAAAAAATCTTTATTTAAGAAATATCATTGAAGATGAGGGTGCTGTAATCCTAGCTACAGGGGAGGCTGAGGCAAGAAAATCGCTTAAGTCCAAGACTTTGAGGTTGTTGTGAGCTGTGACGCCATGACACTCTACGGAGGATGACATGGTGAGACTCCGTCTCCAAAAAAAAGAAAAAAAAAAAGATGAGGGTGAAACAAATGAAAGTTGAACATATTATCCTTCATTTCAAAATTTCCTAAAGTTCTTCAGCATAAAGGGAAATGATAATAGATGAAAACTGAGAACTATGAAGAATAATGAGAAATGTTAACTATGTGGGTAAACTTAAATGGCTATTTTTTGGTCTCATTAAATTTAAGAGGCAACTAACTGTTCAAAGCAAAAATTAAAAATTCCATTGTGAGTTATTCTATATTTAGAAAGGGAATATTATATTTGGCAATAATTGCTTAGAGGGCAAAGTTGTGTTCCCAGGATTATATTGTTATAAGGTTCTTACATTTTACAGAATGGTACAACATTAAATTCAAGGTAGACTATATATGATAAAGTAAGGAGGCAAACCGTAATCCCTAGAGCAAACACACATGCACACACCACCCCCACACAAAGAAGAGGCGACTCTAGAAAGTCAAGAAAGGAAAAAAAAAGAACTATTCCAAAAGAAAGAAAGAAAGGAGAAACAAAGAAACCAAAAAGATAGGACAAATAACAAGAGGGTAGATGTAAACACAGCCATCAATTACTACATTAAATGTAAATGGACTAGCCCCTTTGCTTTTCCTGGGCATGGGAACTTCGCAGGGACAGGACTCTCTTGCACCATGATGACATGTTTGCCAGGGCTTGGGCTAGAGCTGAGGACTTGGTGTTTTTGCTGGGGTCAGTGCCCACCCCAAGTAAGTGGTTGGTGCTAACAGGGCTAAGCTGAGGAAACACCCAGGAGGTTGGAGATTAGTTGTAAATATGGGAATTCAGCAAATAAGTAAATGTCTAGGCAGAGATGTAACCAAGTTGTGTGACCTGGACTTTGCTTCAAGGCAATTACAACACTGTTAAAATGCCTCTGGCCTAGAAGCCCTTGGCAGTCAGGGGAGGTAGATGAAACCAGAGTCAAAGCCCAGGTCACAGGGCCTAGTTACCCTTTTCAATATTGACTTTTCTCTCGTCCCCTTCCTTGCGAATTGGTAGTGACACTTCTGCTGAGGGGTGCTACTACGATTAAGGTGTATTCTAGTGTTCAGAAGAGTTGAGGAGGGAGTACCCATCTTGGCAAAAGGTGGGGCTGGAGGAAGGGGGTTGTCAGACAAAATTACATGGAAGAGATGGCAATCTGAGATATTTTGAAAGACAAGTGGAATTTTCCAAATGGAAAAAGGAAGGAAGATCACTCAGAAAGAAAGGCATAGAGGGTCTGGGAATGACAGTCTCATTTTGGGCTAGGGTGGGAGATAAGTCTGGAAAGATGGGTTAGGGGCAATTGCCAAGCATCTTGTGTGATCTCAGGAGAGGATGGGCACACTGAGAGGCATGGGAAGGCCCACGGGCAGTTCAAAAGCCTTTATGGACATACAGAGCTGGAGAGACTTTCAGCTGTCTCAAAACCAAGGCCTCAGGCTTTGTTTGTCATCATTGGAGCTACCTATTCAGACAGGCTGCACAGCCCAGCCACTTCCTCTTGTTCACAGCCCTAGTATTTTGCCTCAGAGCTTCCAGAGATTTCCAGACCGAGAGAGACCCAGAAACCTAAAGAAAGGATTGGGGTGAGGGTTGAGTGTTTAGGAAACAGGCAGGAGGCCTTTGAGGCAATAAGATAAAGCTCCAAAGCCTGTGAGTTTGAGTTTGGAGGCAATTTGCTGACTGTGTTCAGAAACGTCGTCTATCAAACACCTGCTCAGTGCAAGAAGAGAGAGGCTCTTCATGGACCTATCATTACTTATGTAAGCTTGAGATGTGGACTTGTCCTCAAGTGGCTTACAATCTACCGGAAAACTTAAGTAACCCAAGAGGGGAAAATTAGTGAATAATAAAGGACTGAACAGGTCCAGCGAAGGCCCTGAATAGATGTCTGTCAATTAAATGAATGAAAGTGCGAATGTACGAAACTGGAGGTACTGAGAGCAATGTCCCAAGAATCAGGTGAAACAGAGAGCCCTGGCAGTGTCTCTGAGGCGGTGGGACTGGAACGGTCCAGGCAAGGTCAACTGGCTCCTGGCCTTTCAGACCATACTAAGTGCCCAGTGGGGTCCCGCCTCGCCTGGCTTGCTGGCAGGCAGAGTCCCGTGGGCGGAGGCGAGGCGCTGAGAGGAGCCGCGGTTTCCCACCGCTCCCTCTCAGGAGCAGGGTCCAGAAAAGGGCCCGCGGGGAGGAAGCAGGAGTCCGCGGCCCGCCCCGTTGAGTCCCACCCACCGCGTCCCCTCCCCTCCCACTGCGGGAAAAGCGGCCGCGGCCGCCGCTGCTCGCTGTGGGGCGGGCGGAGCGCTGCGGGCGGCGGACGAGATGCGAGCGCGAGCGCGGCCGCAGCCCCGGCGGCTCTGGGCGGCTCTGCTGGCGCTGGGGGCGCTGGCGGGCGTCGGCGTCGGAGGTGAGTGAGGCGTCCGCGTCCCGGGATCCGCACCGCCGTCAAGTTTGCAGCCTTGGAGCCGCGCGTCCGCTCCGGGAGTGCGCGCGTCCGGGCTGGGGCGGTCTGAGCGCGGAGCTGGGGACCTTCCCGGCCCCGCGGTGGAGGGTTGAGAGGCGCCCTGAGCCCGGGGACGGTCCTCCCGGACTCCGAAGTTGTCACCCGGGTCGGGCGCGGTGGCGCATCTCCGAACCCGCGACCGGCCCCGGGAGCCGCGGCGAGGTGGGGCGGCCCGGAGCTGTTCCCGCGCGTTGGCGGAGGGATGCGCCTGTGGCTTCTCCAGTGAGAGAGTGCGCGCGCGCGGGTTTGCCAAGTTATTCCACATTCCTTTTTTCTCCCATTGTTACCCTTTCTTCCAAGGTGTTTTTTATTTTTATTTTTATTTTTTAAACTTGGCGGTTTCCTGCGGGAATGTTTTGGAGCAGGATGAGAGCTCTGCCTCCTGCAGTGTCCCCCGGTGGCTGTGATGCCTCTACTTTCAGGACAAACTTTGCACCCCCGAAATCTCAAAGTGTATGAGGGGAGCCACGACAAGGCTCCCTTGGGCTGGCTTGCATCCCTGGCTTTGTCTCCCTTTCTGCTGCGCACACCATCAGCCGCCAGGGTAGGCGGCATTCGACCTCATTGGTGCTGGGGAGAGGGACGGAGGGATAGAGCGGGCACAGCCCTGGGGTGCTGCCCGTCGTCCTTCCGGAGCCCTTGGGGGTCTTGCTTGGGGTGGAAGGGGGGACTGTAGTTCCTGGTCCGCTGGGGACCCTTTCTCAGAGGACGTTACAAGAGAACATATATGTACTTTTAATGAAAACACTAGTACTTGTAAAGTGATTAGACTCTGCAAAAGAGTCACATTTTTTTTTTAAATAAAAGGTTAGGATTTATTGGTAAGTCCATTTTAAAGATAAACTATTCAAAAATACTTTGACGATTGCTTTCAAGATTCTTCTATGGATGTATAGACAGATACTAGACAAGGCAAGGATACCTTGGAGGAGTTGCTGTTGATGTATAGGAGGCTGTTTAAGTTGTTATTGAACTTCCCCGGTGATAGAGACTAACACAGGTCAACTGATAACTTTATCTTGCGGTGAGCAGCCTGATGACCATTGCATGGAAATATGAATCTCCAGCAGTTTTCCCTGGCAGATATTAGAGCCTTTGGTCAGATACAGGGCAACTCAGCTTTCTCCTATAGAGATGCCTGCTTCCACAAACTTAAAACAGTTTTTGCTTTCATTAAAATTTTTTTTACATCCACAGTTTTCTGAGTTCAATTCTGAGTATAATCATCATATTTTCTTACGGATTTAGGAGGAATGAGGTAACATATGACAGTGCCTAGCATAGTACTTAGCTGGATGTTAGTGAAGATGAAGAGTGTCTCCCTCCCTATTCCCAACTTCTCTGGAGCTCCAATATGACTTGCCTTGGTCTAGTTCACACAGTTGTATTCATCCATGTAGGATTCTACTGCACTGATGCAATTAAGTTTGCATTAAAGATCATTTAGGAGATCTATTCACAGATTTATCCTGTGAGGGGGGGCAGTTCTAGGAATGGTGATGGGTTGTGCTGAACCAGCCCCAGAACCCCTCTGAGAGGCAGGGTAGTGTAATGTTTAATAGCAGGGACCCTCGAACCAGACTTCCAGAGTAATAAGCCCATCTCCCCACAAACAAATTCTATCATTTGTACACCCTCCATCCCAGTGTTGCTAGCAGGGTTACAAAAATCATTAGATCTCTGGGGAAGCAGTTTGTGAGGATCACAGTAGAATTGTGTTGGGTCACAGAGTGTTGGAGGGACACAGAAAGATCTGGGTGGGGTTGGGGATGGCACAGAGAGACTGTCCCAGAATAGGAGAGTCTGGTGCACATACGGGTAGAGGAGAGGTTGTTTGAGGATAGCATTAAGTTTTTGATTTTCTGTACAAAGATGATCTTTTTAGCTTCACCCAAGAAGTATTGGGTTTTGTGGCTTCCTCATTTTTAGGTTTTTATTCTAACCTGATTAATTCCAAGCTGCAGAGTGCTTATTTCTCTTCTGGAGTTTATATCTTAGAAATCCTCTAACTGAAGCCCTCTGCAGATATCCTCAGGTCTTGGAGAAGTATGGGAGGAAGCCTGATTGGATGGCAAAAGGGAGAGCTATTGTTTAAAGCCAGTTGGATGTAGGTTTGATTCTTGACTTTGTCTCTTGGTTGGGTGACCTTAAGTAAGTTACCTAATCTCTTGGATCCTCCACTTCCTCATCTGTAAAGTAGAGAAAACAATACCACTATGATTATGCTGATTAAATGAAAGACCCCCTAAAATAAGTATTCAGTAAACAGCAACTACTCTTGTCATTATCCTTCCTATCCATGTTATTTACCATGTTTTGTGCGCAGGAGCTGTTACTGCTTTATGCATGAGCAGGATGCAGGCTCCCAGAATGAGACTGATGGGTCCCTTTTCTTACAACTCTGTAGGAGGGGGCCCCTTTTATTTCCACCCATTCCTTGGTGGTGGTTTGGTATACCTTGGCCACTCTGACCCAATAAGAATCAACAGAAGAGACCAAGGAGAAGAAAGTCTCATACATTTGCTTTATCTATGAAAGAACCTCAAGTCCTCTTTGGGAAAACAGGAAGATAAAAGACAACCATATGATTTCCAGTTCTATGAGAGGGTCATGTCTAATATGTTCAAAACTCTATGCCAGGTACCTGGCACATAGGCAGCAAAATAAATGTCTATGGGATGCTATGAAAAGGCATCTAGAGGTGACATGCTCACTTTAAGAAACCTGATATTTGAATATTTACAAAATATTCAATTCATTCCTTATTCATTCAATAAGGATTCTCAAATGCTCCATCTAGATATTTCCAGGGTGTAAGAAATACAGTCAAGATCCTGAGTTCTTTGGGTATTTGAATCGCTGTCCTATTGCACCATTTAGACCTCTACTCTGAGGGTCCTGGAAACTCAAGGGCTCCTTTGTGAAGTGTCTGCCCTTTTTTTTTCCTTCTGGGAGAAGCCATCAGGAGGACATTCTCCTCTATTGTGAGGGCAAAAGTAAGGAGTGGAGGAGGTCTCCTGGGAAGACTAGAAGATGGGGCCAGGAGGTGACAGTGAGGAGGTGGAGTCTAGACTCTAGAATGTCCTTTTCCACAGCTCCCTACCCCACTTAGCATCTCTGGTTATCATGTCCTCCCAGCTCCAAGAATCCTTCTGCCCTCATTGGCAGGAATCACCAGGAAGCGTGCCCACAAGAACCACAACTCATGAATCAGACAGATAATTAATCAGGAGAGTGACTGAGCTGTTACAGGGCTAAACCACTGACTTTACCCAGCTCTCTCTCTCTGCCCACAGAGCAGGCCTACTGCTTTACCCCATCCTTTTTCTCCCTTTTCCTGAACCTTGGCCTCTCCTGAGTGGGAAGATCATTGTGCTTGATGGAGCTTAGGCCACTAGTGGAAATGAAGGTGGGAGTAGGGAAATGACATTGTTTAGGGAAACTGCATATTCCTCCTATGCAAACTGCTGGTATTTATAAAATGTAAGATTCTCCAGCATGGTTGGGTCCCCATAGCTCAGTGATTGGGGCGCCGGCCACTTGCACAGGGGGTAGCAGGTTCAAATCCAGACTGGGGCCAACTAAACAACAATGACAACTGCAACAACAACAACAAATACTGGGTGTTGTGGCAGGCGCCTGTAGTCCCAGCTACTTGGGAGGCTGAGGCAAGAGAATCACTTAAGCCTAAGAATTTGAGGTTGCTGTGAGCTGTGATGCCACAGAACTCTACCGAGGGTGACATAGTGAGACTCTGTCTCAAAAAAAAAAAAAGTCAAAATCTGCCTTTCTTTCCACGCACATGGTCTTCCCAGAAACATTTTTTTAAAAATTAGGTGTTGAAGTATTATTTATGTATAATTAAATATTTCCTATTTAGGTATACAGTTCTATGAATTTTGATAAATGCATGTGATTACCATAATCAAGATAGAGAACATGTCTATCACCTTCCAAATTTCCCTCAAGTGTCATATGAATGAAATCATGTAGTTTGTGGCCTTTCAGTGTGGCTTCATTCACTTATAATGTATTTGGGATTGATCCATCTATCAATCAATAATTCTAAGAGTTTCCCAAGGCTACTCCATCTTCCCTGAATGCTGTGGGGCTGGATCCATTAAACCCAGAGATGCCATCCAGTTTTCAATTTCTTTTTTTTCTTTTTTTTTTTTTTTTTGAGACAGAGCCTCAAGCTGTCCCCCTGGGTAGAGTGCTGTGGCATTACAGCTCACAGCAACCTCCAACTCCTGGG